ACCGCATTTCCCGCCGCTGCTCCTCCTCCACTGCCTCCGCTCCCACTACTGCTTCCCCCTCCACTTGGCCTAGTGTAACGACCAAGGGTACTCCTCCAGCTAGCAAGTTCTTCTTCTTTGTGACCTGCAAGACGAAAAGCAGCCTTCAAAGAACCCGGCTTAAATACCCTGACTGCCGCCGCTATCTCGGGTTTTAGGCCTCCCATGCATAGCCCCACTAGGGTGTCCTCTGGAACTCCCTTGCACTGGTTCCCCAACTTGAAGAACTCTGCGTGGTAGTCAGCCACCGAACCAGTCTGCTTCAGCTTCGCGAGCTGCTCTGGAGCCCACCCTTCTGATTTCCCGAACTGGTAACGGAGCTCCTCCTGGAACATGGGCCAGGTGATCAATGTCGCGGCGGCCGCGTACGATCGCTCCATCCACTCCCACCACTGAAGCGCATCACCTTCTAAATAGAAGGACGCCAGGTAGGCCTTCCGTTCCTCAGGAATTGGGTGGTTCTGAAACCACCTCTCAGCTGCATATAACCAGAGACCTGCATCCTCTTGCCCATTGAATTTTGGGAACTCAATGGTAGGAGGCTTAGCTCGAAAGACTATCCCATCAGTACCCTCATAACTAGGATAGCAAGATCCATACCTGTCGTTCCCTGGGGTCCTCCATGGCTGCCCCTGTGAGAATCCATCCCCCCAGCTCGGGTTTCCTAAGCCATAGTACCCCTAATAGCCTCCTAGCTGGTCCGGATATCCTCCAGGAACGTTGTGCGGCCCATACGGGGCTCTCCAACAGGCCGATCATTTGCTGTCCGCGGACCTAGGCGGCTGGTTGCTTGGGTTCGATCGATGTCCGGTCCGACTCACCTCGGGTCGACCACTGCTGGTCCAACTGGGCCCGGTCCGTCCTCCTTCGGGCTGACCACTGCTGGCCCGACCAGTCATGGTCCACCCAATCCCGGTTCGCCCAACCGGTTCAGCTACTCGGCTCGGTCCGCCACCCCTCTGGTTCACCCCGGGGTCAACCCACTGCGCCGATCAGCCAATCAGGCTGAACTCGCCCTCCTCAGGCTCGTCCCCCAGGTCCACCCATCCCGGCCCATTATTGCTTCTTGCAATCTGATCCATCATCGTGGGCCCAACAGTCTCCGGTGGGCCTTTCGTGTCATAGCCGGGCATCTTACCCTTCCCTTTCCGGGCCGCCACCTCTTGGGCCGACGGTGTTGGCAACAGGCCAGGCCCGCTACCCTGACCTAGCGTGTCGCGACCCACACGCTCCCGATTCGCCGCTGGGCCTCCCGCGCCACTCACCATCGGCGCCTCCTCCAACACCGCCGCCGGCGCGGCTGCCGCCGCTGCCCCGCCCACCGCGGCGCGGCGCCCGCGCCCATCGTCGCCGCCTCCGCGACCTCCCCGGCGCTGCTGCCTGCCCCTGCATCTCCACCATCAAGATATGGAGCGCATCAAGTCGGCTCCACACCCGCCGGGATTCCTCCAACCGCTCCTGGCGTTCTCGTTCCACCAGATCCACAAGGACGTCAAGGCGGTGTTGCCCCACCTCTTGATCAGTCAGGTCCTCCAACTCGCCATCCACCGGCACGCGCGGAGCAGGGCGAGGAGGCCACCCTTGCGGAGCAGTGGCCGAGGGTTGACCCCCTGTCGGCGCCTCGTGGTTGATAGCCGGCAGCCCGCCCGCCGTCGCAGCTGGCCCCTGTGCAGTCTTCGCCGCCTTCTCTGCCGCTACTTGGGACTTGGTGGAGACCATGATGCCAGTCGAAAGAAGGATTGGCTCTGATACCAATTGATAGAACCCGAATGCGAGTTCTACCGGTTGGAATTGATCCGGCTAATTGGGAATTGGGAAGAAGAGGTGGAATTGGGAATTGGGATTTGATCAGAAGAGGAGGGGAAGAAGAGGCTGTCGGCAGCCTAGGGGAAAAGAGGGGAGGAAGAGAGTGAATGGCAGAGAGAGTGGGAGAGGGATTAGAAGATTAGGTTTAGGTTTAATTGTTGCTTAGTGGACTAATCCCACTTACAAGTCATTTATATAATAATTGGATAATTCCTTACTGCTACCCGACATATAATTTATTCTCCAATCCCCGAAATAGTCCCAATCATCCAAAATAATAACAATCCGATAAGTAATTAAAATGCTAAATACTAGTTTCTATCAGGGGAGGGGATAAGTTTTGATTTTGTAGTTCTTCGGTGTCGTTTTTATTGATGTGTTAGATCCTGTTGTGGTGTTTTTGTGGTCAAGTAGTTTTAAATTTTAATAGTTCAGGAAAAGTAGGTAACTCTAGTTGGTTAGCTTCATGGGTTTTAGCCTTTTAGGAAGTGGGTCAATGGGTAGAATTGAAAGCCGAATTAGCAGCTTAGAAAAGTTGGCTAGTTGTATAGATTTGCTTTTCTTTCATTCAATAAGATTTGGTCAGTTTGCATTCTTTTGAGTTTCACACGTTTGTCTGAATCATAGAGGCAGTGGTGGTTTTTGGTGGTGGAGAATCGTCTGGATCTAAGCATTATGTTTTTGACATATGCATGCAGATGTTTCAAGAAGATGAATTCCGGTGGAGAGGGAAATACTTATGGTGATTACTAGGGGATCGGAATAGTTTCATTTCCCAATTTTTAGCAGAGTAGAGAGAGACTTCTCAAGGCTAGATGAAAGCCCTAGTTTGGTGATTGAAGCGGTTCTGAATGAAGAAGATATCGTGATGGGAAAATTCGTGTTTGGGTCATAATTGTTTATATAATTTTCAACTGGACACGTATTGATTTATTTAGTTTAAATTTGTAAATAATAGAAATTAGAAAAAATTATTTGATTTGAATTTTACAATAATTTTTACGATGACATGACAATGACCTGACACATTAACCATTAGTCAGCAGTGTTGACTGTCCAACTTGACTGTCAATCCATATATAAGTTAAATTAGTTTAGATGGTGTATAGTTTAGGCCATGATGAATATTTTAGAAATCATAGACCAAACTAGTTTATTTGTGTAAAGTTCGGGCCCATTTATAGTATTAATCCTTAATTTTATCACAAGTATGGAATAAAGAATATTACCTTTGCTTTTAGCTTTTACCAACATCAAAGACGAAAATGCAAGGTAGAAAAGTTAATGTTACCCAACTCTTTTGATAGGTAATTCTTTTCCAACTTTGAACGCCAAGAATTACTTGCAATTGTATGTGGAAACAAGTAAGGCACTTGCAATTGAAAGATGAAAGTTCGTGATAGAATTCTCTGAGAAAATTAAGAAACAAACTTTTTGATATTCCCGTTATATATGGGAAATAAAGCAAAGACAAATAAAAGCACCAATATAATTAGGGATGGAAATCGGTACGGTATCAGTATCCCAATACCAAATACCGAAATCCCGAATACCGAATTACACTCTAAAATCAATCCCAATCCCAATCCCTAAATAATTTCGGTATCCCAATCCCAATCCCTAAATAATTTCGGTATCCCAATCGGTACCTCGGTATCCCAATCGGTATTATCGAATGCATAATTAATTACCTTTGCAATTAATAATTAAATATATAAATTAGATTTTATTGTTTAATTTTGAGCGAAGAGACTAAGCAAATAGTCTTGAGTTGCCTAGAGCTAACATCTCAAGTTCTTGTAATTGGTAATCTTTAATTTGATGAATTTGAGGTTGAGAGACGACTAATAATAGTGTGAAATAGTGATGTAATGATCTATGTATAACTAAATGATACTTTTGGTGGTTGATGGTCGCGTAGTAGAGAATGAGAGAGTTTAGTTGAGAGGATAAAATACACACTAGCTTATATTTCGATATTGATCGGTATTTCGGTATATACTGATCCCAATCCCGTAATCCCTAATACCGAATAACAATTGAAATTCAATCACAATCCCAATCCCACAAAATAATACGTGTATTCGGTAATACCAAATATAGACAAATTCGGTACGGTATTCGGTATATTCCAAATACCGGTACCAAACTTCCAGCCCTAAATATAATAACTAGAAATTAAGAGAAACCTTGCTTAATTTGTCATCAATTCGATCTGTCTACAGCCGAATGTTTCACTAATACGCACGTTCATATATACTTCGTAAAACCAAAGTAGTTTCCAATAGCTTAAAGTCTTAAACTAACATGATAGCAATGAAAAACGAATTTCAACTGCCTTTTAACGATAGTAAAATTACTCTAAAAAGAAAAATTAATTTAATCTATTCGAGGATAAGTTGAATCTTTTTTCCTCAGAAAATTAAATTTTTTATTTTTCAAATTCGATAATTATTATCATGTAATAATGGTGGAAGATAGCACACATAAATGTAAAATCATGCTAATGTTATATTTCTCAAGCTCCAATACTCGAGCTGCAACAAGGCTTTAGCTAGCATAGCATGAAAAATTATCTTTGTTCCTCCATCACCAAGATATTTGGCCATAAGTGATGAAGTTAGGTTGAAGACTTGAAGTTATAATTAGGAAGGGTGCAGCCCTCTCAATTTTAAAATAAATGTAAAATAACATATAAAATCGAAATAAATTTCGACATTAGAATAGTCGGAAAGGATTTAGCCCCCACATGAAACGATAATAGAAATAGTAGTCGCAGAAATACCAAATCAATGCTAGAATTTAATAACTCAAGTTTTTGGTCAAATGAAAGGATACTGATCCTAGTTTAAAGTTTGTACATGTAAGAATATTTTGTGTTTAACAAGTGAGGTTCATCAAAATTCTAATAGAAGACCTCTCGGTAATAGAAGGTTCTGATACTATATCAACAACCAGTTGATCTCCATAACTCGAATTATTACAAGATATCAATATGGATCTTATACCACTTACTAACCGTCAATACTGATCAATTTTATTCAACGCCACACAAAGAACAAATACAGTAGTGTGCATACAATCACCACAAACATGTACCACATACTTGAAATAAGTAAATCAGTAGAAAGATCCATGCCAACATATTACATTATTTAGACGTGATCATCGGTACTGAGGGCTTTCAGGGCAGCCTTGAGAGCAGCATTCTCCTTCTCCTTCTCTTCTAGACACTTCCTCAGCAATGACTCAGTCTTGTCCTTCTCCTCCACGATCTTCTTCCAGCTACTTTCGTACAAAACCGAATATCTGCTCCCATCGTCGCCCTCATCCCCGCCTTGAGCAATTGGAGGGGCGACCAAAACGGCACCGCTGCTCATGTCCCAAATGCTCCATATCGTGCTAATCACGGGCTTCACCCCGTACTTTGACCAGCCGAAATGGTCGTTGATCCTCACCCGCTTGATCGGCTCGCACCCGACGTACACGAGGCAGAGTCCTTGACGGTTGACCACGGGGAAAAACCTCCGACCGTTGGGGTCAACCCAGGTCAGATCTTTGACCAGCTCTTCCAGTCGGCTGCCTTGTATCGTCACGCCGTGGACCTCCAGCTTCTTGAACCGAGCGCCAGCAGAAGGGCCGACGGCGATGGAGTCACGCCACCTCGAGCTGCTGACGTGGATGAGGTCGAACGCGTTCAGGTCGTCCATGTATTCGACGACGTGAATGTCGGGAGATCCGTCCACGGTTCGGACGAACTGGTTGTCGTTCTGCAGCTTGAACGCGGACATATTTTTTTCTTTCGGGGATTTTTTTTCACCGGGAGAGACGGATTGTTTTGAAGAAAATTTGCTTCCGTTGGGCTTTGGCACGGTACGTACGTATATTATATATAGTACTGGAGTTCTTCTTTACTGTGGATGATGAAGGAATTTTCTACCATGTCCACGTTTTGTATATGTCCGAAACTTAAGAAAACAGAAGAGAATTGAATTCGTTCAACTTTGCTTCACCATTTAAGTTATTGAAATGCGAGACTGGTATTCTCTAGTGTCCTTCTAGACCTTAAATCCCTACTGTTTTTAGAACTTGCATATAATTATATTTCGTTTGCAGGGGACTTGCAAAAGCCCGCTCGCTATCGCTTCACGTATTACTAAAATAAAGTTTTTAAAAATAATAATTTTAATGCTGACCCAAAAGTGAAAATCATCGTATTTCATTACTAATTATTCTTTTTATAGGTTTGTTATTTACAATAGCATATGATCGAAGAACTTGCATAAGGTAGAGGGGTCGTCAAATAGATTATTTATTTTTAAATTTCTTTCATGACAGTAATGTTTCAATTTGTATGGCTTTCTTTTTTTGGGCGTTTGAGGTAATCATTGTGCTCCTTTATGAAATTTTTGGACTGACTGCAGGTTTGAGGAGGTTCAACTCGCATTGATCAGGTCAAATTAGGTTAGATACCCATGGATTTGAGTTCAATTGTCTTTCTCAAATAAAAGAAAAAAGCAAAATGAAAAACACTAAAGCTAAAACTCGCTACCGACTCAAATTCGTCAGACCAAGGTTCAACTTGCTTTGACCTGGTTGGACCGAGTTTTGGACAAATTCACACCTGACTCAGCACGCTAATTACAAAAACAAATAAAACTCGCTCCCGGCGAAAACCAGTAAAATCGGGTTCAAGTCAATTTGGTCTGGTCGAATTAGGTTGTATACCCATGCGTTTGAACTAAATTATCATTCTCAATCAAAAGGAAAAAGATAAAAAAAAATACTAAAGCGGATAAAACTCGCTCAGGACCTAAAACTCTCAACACTGCATTCAACTCGCTTTGACCGGGTCGACCCTGTTTTAACAAATTCACAATTTACCCAACCTGTCAATTACAAAAGCGGATAAAACTCGCTCTCGATACGAAACGCGTCAACGATGGGTTAGAGTTCAATTGCCATTCTCAACGAAAAGGAAAATGAGAAATAAAAAAATTTAAAGCGTACAATACTCGCATTCGATCTAAAATTGGTCAACAACGTGTTCAACTCGCGTTTAACAATTTTTTAACAAATTAACACTTGGTTTAACCTGTCAACTACAAATGCAGATAAAGCTCGCTCACAATACAACACTCGTCAAAACCTTAGATTCGGGTTCAATTGCCTTCCCAACCAAAAGAAGAAGAAAAAAGAAATTTATAAATGCTAAAGTCGGTTTCAAGTCACTTTGATTGGATCGAATTAGGTTGGATACCCATGGATTTGGGTTCAATTGTGATCATGCTCAATAAAAAGGAAAAAATAAAGAAAAAACACTAAAGAGGATGAAACTCGGTCCTGATACAAAAATCGTGGTATCGGCCTTAGGAAACGTTGGTGGGGAGCAACTTAGGATTCCGTCAACAGTATTTTGAGATAGGCTGCAAAATATTGGGCAAAGGCGATGATTTGTGTAAAAATAAAAAAAATAAATAAAAAACACTAAAGAGGATGAAACTCGGTCCTGATACAAAAATCGTGGCAGTGGCCTTAGAAAACTTTGGTGGGGAACAACTTAGGATTTTGTCGATAGTATTTCGAGATAGGCTGAAAAATATTGGCCAAAGGCGATGATTTGTGCAAAAAGCCATAGATAGAAACCTAACGAACAATAACTAAACACAAAGGCGATGATTGTGCAAAAAGCCATATACGAAAACCTAACGAACAATAACAACAAAGTTGTATGACGGAGAGTGGGGTAAAAGAATGAGTTGGAACTTTCCCACTTGCACTTGGAGGAGTGTGAGAGCCACTAATGAATAGTAACTCAAACCTAGGTTTTTATATATTAAATATTAATTAATATATTAATTATATCAGATACCATTACAAATGCTATTAGGCTGTGTTTGGATAGAAGGATTGGGATTTGGTATTTGTGATTTGGATTCTAAATATTGAATCGATTGTTTGGATATTAATTAAATTTGGTATTTGGATTTGTGTAAATTTCACGGGGTGATTTCAAATACATGTCTAGTGTATTACTTGTCAACTGCAAATACATATCAACAACTAGTGATTTGAAATTTCTCATATCAAAAGATTGGACCCACTTGTAAAATTTTATAAGTTTAGGTACTATAATGTGAGGCAAAATATATAAAGGTACCAAAACATAATTTGAGTACCAAATATTTTGGACCTTTTTGTAAAATTTTAAAAATTTAGGTACCAAATTGTAAGAAAAAATCCTAGTGCGAGAGAGATCTAGTGTGACTAGGGTTTTGGTCGGCGACCCTTTGTCGTCGCGCCGGCATCTGCGCCGCTGCTCCTTTTTTCCCTTCCTCTTCTCTTTTCTTGAGTGATTTGCTACTCATGGCCTCGTCGTCGAATGCATCGCCTGATCTACAACCGACTAAGCCATGGGCGAGCTTATTCGGAATTTCAGAAGCAAATTGTTTGTGCTATATCAAACCTGAAGTGGTGAATGGTGGTTTGCGGATGCCGAAGATAGTCAAAGAAGAAGGTGTTGCTCGATGGAAACACTGCCTAGTTGGTCAATTTTTGCAAGACATTCCTCCCTTGATGGTTCTTAGGCGTTGGGCTGACAAAATCTGGGGTCGGGACGCTCAGGTTTGTGTTTCACTTATGTGTGAGAATTTTGATACTGATACAATTTCCTTCGCAAGGGACTTGTGATTGGATATTGGAAAACGACCCTTGGTTTCACTTTGATAATTTGCTATATCTTCGTCCCTGGGTTCCGTACATTAGTCTATTGGATTTAGGCAGAAAGGCGTTGCCAATATGGCTGAAATTGTCGAATGTGCCTCTTGAGTAAGTGAATTTTAAGGGACTGAGTAGAGTTGAAAGTTGGGTTGGCATTCCCCTGGGTGTTGACCATACCACGCGGCTGGGTAGGAGGAGGGGATTTGTTAAGGTTCTGGTTGAGCTAAAGGCAGAAGGTCCTTTCCCATAAGTTGTGACTGTTTGGCCTGATGATGCACCCCCCAATTCAAGTTCTTGTTGAATATTGCCATCTTCCGCCAGTTTGCCCAATCTGCAAATTATTTGGAACAGACTGTTGTGCTCTAATTCTGGGGCAGAAAGTCTAGGTTGCTAAGTCTGGGCACCATGAAGAGCAAGATGCTAAGGGTAAGAAGAAAGTGGATGCGACCTTACCCCCAGTCTCCCCTGCTCCTCCAATTGCTACTGCTGCTCCCATTCAGGATAAGGGTTCTCTGGATTTGTCTGCTTCCTCTTCTCCGGATTCTTCTTCAAGAATCACCATAGGGGGTATAAACCAAGATGTCTCCTTTTCTTAGGTATCCTCTCCAAGACCCCTGTCACTAGTGTCTTCTCCATAGCTGCCATCCGAAGCTGAGGTTCAGAGAGTGGTTCATGGAGCAAATGCTCGAATCTGGTCACCAGCCCCTAGTCCAACGAGTGTTTTACATGTTTCTCCATCCTCATTTAGTTTTCTTACTGATCAAGATGGAGATGAAGTCGTTCGGTTGCAAGATGCTCCTAAGAAAGGCCAAAAGAAGGCGGGCTTAAGCCCCACTCCTTGCCAGGATTTGTTTATTTTGGAATGTTCAAGGATTTAATAAATTCTCGAAGAGACGGGACTTTACACAAGTCCTGAGGCGAGTGAATGTTAGTGTAGTGGCAGTTTTAGAGACTCGAGTGCATCAAGAAGTCGGAGGAGATTTCTGAAGGTTTTTTAGTGGGTTGGGAAAGGTTTTTAAACTACTGTGAGTCTGATTTTGGTCGTATCTGGTGTTCTGGCAACCAGAGTTTAAAGTCAGCATTCTGAAGCCAAGTAGAAACTTTCTTCATACTTTGATACAAGATCAAGGGGGTGATTCCTATTTTTTAACAATCGTATATGGAGCATACGATGAGTTGGAACGAAGGGCAACATATATTCAGCTAAGTAGACTTAAAGTTGATGATTACCCTTGGATAGTAGGAGGAGACTTCAACGCGATTCTACATCCAAGTGAAGCTTCTAATCAGACTCTTCTTACATCAAGTATGTCTGATTTTGAGGGGTGGCGAAACAACATGGAACTGGAGAATTTTAATACTCTAGGACCTTTCTTTACATGGGCGAACAACCAGCAGCTTAATCTGATTGCTAAGCGTCTGGATAGAGCATTGGTGAATGTTCCCTGGATGAAAGTTTTTCCTAACTGTATTATGAAAGCTATCCCTTGTACGTTTTCAAAACATTGTGGTATTCTGGTCAAAGCTAAACCTCATGAGTTTTCTTTACCTAAACCTTTCAAGTATTTTGATTTTTGGAGTGAACATTCTGAGTTCCTGAATATTGTAGAGGAGGCCTGGTCCATTCAATGTGTTGGTAGTCCATGGTATATAGTGCAGACTAAGCTAAAAGAGGTCAAAGAGGCTATGAAAATGTTGAACAATGAGCATTATGCTAATATCAGTTCCCAAGTAAAAGAGAGTTGCAGTTGTTAAGAGTAACGATTGATTGCTTCACTGCCCCTACAGTTGAGAACATACATGCGAAAAAAATGTTGTTGTCTCAATTGGAAGATGCAAAGCAGGCAGAGGAAGGGTTATATTGCCAGAAATCTAGAGAAGAAGGTCTTAATAGAGGTGACAGAAGCACACGATACTTCCATCAATAAGTGAAAATCAGAACGACAAAGAGAGCTATTAGAAGAATAAAAATTGAGGCAGGGGAAGTTATTACTGAAGTTGATAGAGTGGCTGATGCTATCAAATCTCTTTGGTGTGGCAAATTCTGATGTTCACCCCGATTGTCAGTACTTGAAAGAGGTTATTCACAGGAAATTGTCTCATGAAGATAAAGAGTTGCTCTGTAAGGCTGTACCAGTTGATGAAATCCGGGAAATAGTGTTTCAAATGAACATCCATAAAGCTCCATGTCTAGATGGGTTTTTCTCAAGTTTCTTTAGGAGAACTTGGCATATTATTGGGGAGGATGTTATAAAAGGAGTTCTTGACTTCTTTGTGCTTAGTGGAGTCAATGCCACTGCAGTAGCTCTACTACCTAAGGTACTAAATGCTGAGACTTTTAAAGAATTTCGTCTTATTTCTTGTGTTAATGTGCTTTATAAAATAGTAGCGAAAATATTGGCTAAGAGGTTGAGTGAGGTACTGCCCAATGTAATTAGTTTGAATCAAACAACATTCACTAAGGGTAGCCAGATTGTAGATAATATTATGCTTGCTGAAGAATTGGTCAGTGGGTATCATAGAATGCAGTTATCTTATAGGTGTGCTATAAAAATTGATATTATGAAAGCCTTCTATTCGGTCAATTGGGATTATCTGTTCATGATTATGAAGTTGATGGACTTCCCTACTCGTTACTTGGATTGGATTCACACATGTGTCTCTACAGCGAGATTCAGTATTTGTGTTAATGGGGCTATGAAAGGGATCTTTAAAGCAAAGAAGGGAGTGAGACAATGTGACCCTCTCTCACCTTACCTCTTTGCAATTGCAATGGAGGGTCTCACTGGAATGTTAAACAGAGCATCTGAGCATGGACATATTTCCTACCACCCTCTTTGCAGCAAGATCTCCTTGAATCACCTTTGTTTCGTAGATGATTTGTTGATTCCCACAGTAGGATCAACAAAAGCGATAATGGCATTAAAGCAGACCCTGGATCAGTTCTATAAGCATTCTGGATTGAAGTGTAATCCTGTGAAATGTTCATTTTTCTTTGGTGGTGACTGGTGAGTCAGTCACCTATAAGTAGAATGCTCTTACTTTATCTGGATTTGTAGAAGGTTCTCTTCCTGTGCGTTACCTGTGACTACCTCTTATATCTGGATTGACAACACCAATAACTAAATGAATTAGATCATGCGTGCTAAGAAACTATCTTATGCTGGAAGATTGCAGTTGATCAGCTCAGTAATATCCGGTCTTGTTCAATATTGGCTTCAAGTTTTTGTTTAGCCAAAGAAGATTCTGAAACTTGTTCAGAAACTCTGTATGGAATTTCTCTGGCATGGTAATGATACTGGAAGGGACAAAATTGCTTGGGATCGTCTTACTTGTCCTAAAAAAGAAGGAGGGCTTGGCATTCGAGATCTCGGCTCCTGGAGTTCTGCTTGTTCCCTACTTTATTATGGCTTTTAATGATGTAGCCAGGAGCTCTTTGGATGGCCTGGATGCTCAAATATCGCTGTAAAACAGGGGATGTCTGGACTATGAAGGAGAATGCCAATAGCTCCTGGGCTTGGCGTCGAATTTTGAAGAAAATAACACAGATACAATCTCTACTCAGCCGACAAGGGGACTGTGCTTTGTGGAATGGGCAACCAATGCATAAATATTCGATCAAGCTTGTCTGGAATACCCTGCGTCCTCATTACAGCGCGGTGGCGTGGTATAGGTTGGTTTGGGGGCAGAGTAGTGTCCCCAGGTTTAGTTTTATTGCCTAGCTTGTTATACTTGATGTCATTACTACTAAGAACAAGCTATTGCGATGGGGGAAGGTCAATGATGACTGTTGTGTTCTCTGTCACAATGGTAGTGAAACACGAGATCACTTGTTTTTCAGCTGTGATTTTGTGAAGCAAGTAGTTGCTAGTATCCTGCAAGTCGAGGTCGTGTGTAGATTTTCCTGAGAGGAATCACTAATGTCTGTTTGCCAAGCTATCAGGAACACCCAAGGAAGTTCTATTGGGGTAAAGTGGTGTCTGTTGATCACTTATATTTGGCAGGAAAGGTGCATGTGATGTCACTCTGAATTGGAACGTGATGTTGCAACTCTGCAGGCATTAATGAAGCAGGATTTGACAAGTTGAGAATATTGTATTGCTGGTGATAGAGATATAGGGGTCATTTGGATCCAGGTTTTTAATTTGTGGGATTTTGGCTCAAATCACTGGTTTAAAACCCCAGGTTTTTAATTTGTGAAATTTGTGTGGGATTTTAAAATAGCTGATCACCACCAGCTATTTCATAATCCCACAATTGTGGGTTTCTGAAATCTCTAATATTTAAAATCTCTTATCATATAATTGCTTTCCAAACGAGTGATTTTAATAAAATCCCACATTATATAGGATTGTACCCAAATCCCACACCCAAAACCTGCATCCAAATGACCCCATAGTAAAATGTAGTGGGAGATATTATTTCTTGTTTTCATTGTATTTTTTTGTCAGGGCCACAATGGCAACCCATTCGTTGTATTGCTCAATTCAAGAACCGATACAACGAATGGGTTGTCATTGTGGCCCCCGGCAGAAAAAGTTACAATTCTTTTTTGTTTAATAGTAAAAGGGTAACTGATTCGGCGGAAAAAAATTGTGAGAAAATAAAATTGAGTACCAAAATGTAACTTATCCAAATTTCTAGTAAGTAATCAAAAAATTCAATATTAAAATAAAAACTCATAAAATCTAATATACAAACAAATAACAAATAAATATGGAAACAACAAATTTGAGTTATAAGTATTTTAATTGCTAGTATATTTTAAATATATGTATTTTAAATACATATATTTCAAATACCTTAGATTTAAACTTGAATGGGATTTTCCGCCATATATAGTTGGAGACACAAGGAGTGACACCGGCAAAAACTACTACAAATACTATTGAACCACTGTTGATTCTTCCACTATAGATTTAGAATACATAAAAAAATCTATGCATGGATTAAGGGAGGGCGCAACCGGTACCGAAGAATCTTATGTGATGCCGATGAGAGCATTGAATCAACCATGAACTTCTATGATTGCGTTCTTTGATCAACATCTTGTAGATCAATGATTAAATTTTTAGTATTTATCGATTTCATATTTGATTCATTTTGCTCTTTTATCAATGCACTAATAGGAAAAACATCTTGTATGTTAATGATAAATTGTATTTTTTTTAATTCTTTTATGTCTTTATGGTATATTTTTGTGTGTTTCATCAAGGTAAAAACACAAACCTAAGACTAAGCCTAATGAATAGGAAGTCTTCTAGAAGTCTCAACTAGAGCCCAAGAAAAACCTACTGGAGAGGGCATTAGGTTCTGTCTAACCGATGCAGATCCAATTGCTCCAAGAGGTTGCTTGGACCTCAAGCAAGCCAGACCATGAAGAAATGAGGTTGGGTCAACATTAAAACTATCCTCCAATACATATATGTACATTCTCGCTCAGCACATACTAAATCTAATTTTTCCTGGTCTCTCCGCAAAGCAAGGGAGGCCTGAAGAGTCTTTTGGCTTCTTATTTTTTTTGGTGCGTGAGCTGCTGGGTGGACATAACTTGGGCTTTTAATTTTATTTTTAGCCCACTCAAATTTAGGAATTTATAAGTACAACTAAATACAAAATTAATAAATTATCAGTTTAATTACTTAAAATTTAAGTGTATTAAACATGTTATATGTATTTAATACGTGAAGGATCAACCAAATAGAAAATAAAAAGACAACTCTACAATAATACGTAAATGAGAGTTATAATTTTTTTAAAACAATTTATGAAGTTCAAATATCTATCTATGTCCAATCATGTGAGAATACCGGCTTACAAATTTAATTTTTATTTTAAAAATGCATGGTTATATGAAAGTTCGAAGTTCTAATTCGAGTACAAGAGATGTTCTGTAAAGATAATTCTATGAAGTAGAAACGTTACTGAGAATACCAGCTTTAAAGTATAATTTAATTTCAAGATTGCACGATTTTGATAAGTTCTAAGTTTCAATTCGGGTACAAAAGATGTGGTTTGAAGATAACTTATGAAGTAGAAACCGTACTCAATTCGATAAAATTCTAACTAAGGCTATTAATTCAATGTACATCTTGACCATTTCATTTCTCTCTGTCCGTGAAAATCCAAGTAACATATGAAGTAGAAACAGTTCTTACTAAGCCTATTAATTCAATGTTCATCTTGATCATTTCGTTCCTCTCTGTCCGTGAAAATCCAAGTATGTAAATATTTCTTACTTTATTAGTTTAATATTTAAGTTGTTAACGATCATCTATTTGTGATTGGCCACTTAAATTCGACCTACCTTGGTGCTATCTAATCATGATTTTTCTGAAGTGATTGAATTTCATTCAAGGTACATTCTTAAGACACTAAAAGAAATTCTCATTATGTTGAAATTTAAAATGAAAATTAATGATAAAAAATGAGATCAAGCTCCTATGGTGGCGTAAGAAAAGACTATTCAATATCCCTACTACTACATTGCAAATTAATTGAAGCGGACGTATTCGAAAAAGGTAAAGATTGGTTTGAATCTAAAGATTGATTAAAATACAAATGCTGAATTTTTTATATATACATTTAGGCTAATTTGTATTTTTGTCCAAGAGAAAGAACATATACTGAAATTTAAACTTGGAACCTTTTTAAACACTTTAAACTTGGAAAACTGTTATCAAATTATAACCGGCCAACGGGCTGGGGTACAATCTAGTTACTCTTTAAAATATTTATTTTTCTAATACGCGAAACGATAGCTTTTTGCCTGTAAAAAAAATCACATTCCCCTTCAGCGGACCCTGAGTGAAGATAAAACAAAAGAAGTGGAAGAATCATATTCTCTGGTCGAGAATATATGAAATAATAAATACACAAAGATAATCAATCCACGTGGATCGGCCAACTTGTGGTGGTGGTGGGTAGTCACTAGTCACATGAAGGCCAGACCAGGCCAAATCTGGTGCGCCGCCCCATTCAGCCGAATCAAAAGAAAAAAAGAATCTCGGATCCCTCTGTTTGTCACTACTAAGAAGGCTAGGTGCTTGTTGCGCGTGTTTCGTAACAAGAGCCTTGCAAATTACACAGAGCGAGACAAGTCAGAATTCGTGAGCGCTAGCTAGCTAAATCTAATCACAGTCTCAAAAGTATGCGAGGGGAGTTGACGCAGGAGACGGCGGTGGAAGCTCCGGCGAGCGCGGTGTGGGAGGCGTACCGCGGGCTTGAGCTGGCAAGGCTGGTCACTGAGCTGATGCCGGACACCATCGGCCACGCCCAAGTCCTTGAAGGCGACGGCGGCGTTGGCACCCTCGTCAACCTCACTTTCCCACCGGGTATTAATTACCTTTGTTAGACGCTAATTTAATTATGCCTTGGTACGACGTCGTTTTTCGGGTAATCAATTTGCTGCCCTATAACAACAGGGACTGCTGGGGCGGGATACGTGAAGGAGGTATTCACGGTGGCGGACGACGAGAAGCGGGTGAAGGAGACCGAGACAGTCGAGGGCGGCCTACTCGCTCTGGGCTTCGACTCGCTCCGCGTCCGCCTCGAAATCGTGGAGACAGGTGCCGAGTCCAGCGCCATCAAGTCCACGCTCCTCTACGAGGTGGACGACGCCAAACCTGAGCTTCTCGCCTATCTCTCCACCGACCTGTTGGAACGCATGGCCAAAGGGATAGCCAACCATGTCGTCCAGAATTACAACAACAGGAAGAAGAAATCGCCATCCCTCTCTCCATCTGAATGATTCCCGATTTGTGGTGTTTATGTTGCCGTTTCTTCGATGTGATCATGTGTGTTTGGAGTAATAATTAATGAAGATGAGGTATGGGTCTTATTTATGTAATGCTCGTCCCTTGAATTGTTTGAGCTGAGGTATGGGTCTTATTTATGTAATGCTTCAATCTCAATTATATTTAATTTAATAATATTTACTCGTGTGCCATTTTGATTAATATTTATTATATATACTAATATAAGTATGATGTGACCAAATTTAATCTTTCCTCTCAAATTTAATCAACCATCCTGGTCTTTGGTCGCGCTCCTGGTGCCCTTGTATCAAACTCTTTTTTTCCTTTTCAATCCAATCATCACCTTCATCAAAAAAAAAAAAAAAAAAAAAAATTTAATCAACCATCCTTCCATAACTTATTTTTACTTTCTCTAATGCAGTTTTCTACTACAGCACTAGAATCTCTAAACTTTAACTTTTTTGCTTTAAGATAACATAAAAAGTATTTATATGCATAAAAAATAATCTCTCACTACTACTTTTTAGTGTTTTTTTCTTAGGAAACTTAACAAATTCTATTCGTTCGTGTTTAAGTTTTGGTATTGAATTTTGAAGATATATACTATGATATTTAGACTTAGGATTTAGTGATAGATGATCTTTGAAAAATTTCTTCATGAACGATTTCCACGGTCTATTGTCCATGACTCTTATTAACGGATTTTCTTATGAAAACATAATTGTATAAGAGTAATGGTAAGACAATGAAGTTAATAAATCTCATGGTAAGACAATGAAGTAAATAAGTATTGAAGGATTTTGACATATAGAAGTGAGTAAGTGACTGTCTTTAACTTAAATAGGGTTTCTCTCACATTCCATTTTTTATATGGATTTTACGTACTAAGAACGTTACTAAAATAAAAGTCAACGAAGGATTAGTTTGAACACGAAATTAAGGTAGATCATTGGTTAAGTGTGGCAGGGAGAGATTTGTTAATCTGGATGTAATGGGTTTGAGCCTACTTGGAGTGAAATTTTTGGTGATTTTCGTTTCTTAGAAGGGGGAATGAGAATGGGTAATTTAAATGGAATTGAGGGGAAATTTGGTCTTATTGGAGTTAGGGTATATAAATAACTTTTTTGGGTAGGAGATTCTTAAATCTTAACCCTTGCCTCTCGGTCACTCACTCCTTTTAGGCTTTTACCGTATCTCTCTCTCATTTTTCTCTAAAACACGAACATAAAGAAAAGAAGAACGGGTGGACAACGAGAAACGGGTATTTGGGAATATCCAAACCCGTCCTGTTTTTTTAGGGTTACGGGAACCCAAATACCCGTTATATTTATTGTGGGATGGGACTTGGAATTAAGAATCACAATATTGGGTACCCGCGGATTACCCGCTAATACCCGTTTGGATACTTTGAGTACCCGTATTACCCGTATAATATATCCATGAAAATGAAACGAAAAATGATAGACTATATATAGTCCTACTTCTAATATCGTGAAGTGTTAGCACATAGTAGCCTTCTCTAGTTAGAGGAGTCATATTCTCCCACTGCAGCAGAACCATCCTTAGGCTTTGAAAAGCTCTTGGATTGAGCCATGGCCAACTCACCATCAATGAAATTAACTATCGTCGAGTACAAAATAAATTTAGTACTAAATTTAGTACCCATTTGCTTGAACTTATGGGGACGCAACTTATGGGACAATTACAGTAGCTAAAACTTTGTTACGTTGTTGTTCTAACTCATTTACAATAGCTTTATTTTATTGTTTTATTTGTTGAACGGGTATAAACGGGTAGTTTGGGTACCCGTTATCCGTCCCGTACGGGTTGACGGGTACCCGTTATCCGTTCGGGTTTGGGATATGTGATGAACTTTGATCTCCAAATGGGATTGGGTACCCGTTTCAAACGGGACGGGTACCCAATCCCATCCCGTTTTCCATCTCTCTTATTCTCTCACTTCTCGCCCTTTCTTTTTCTCGACCACAATGAAGACCACGACACCTAGTATTTTTCGGACATTCATGATGAGCTTTGCGATCAGTTATGCAATTTGCATGTAATAGTAGGGGTTGATTGTTAGTTTTTATTAGGAGGAAATAGGGTGTTGATATGTTCTTTTTCTCTTTTTTTGGCTTTCTGTTTTTTTCATTCTAAAAGAGGAGAGAAGGACCCAACTATGATAATGAATGATAGAAATAAGGGTTGGATTAGTAGTTACCGACCTTTTCTTTGTTGTTTGGTGAAGGGTATCGCTGCTTTCATCCAATTATCTGATGTTGCGTTTTCTCTTTTATTTTGTTTTCCTACTTTTAGTCTATTAGGATTGTTGGTGTAGTGATTGTGGTGTGTTTGAGATGAAAAGAATGGGGAAAGAGTCTCCCTGAATGAAGCCTGTCTTTTGTTTAGGAAGGGAAGGTAGTATGAGGAATTTCATACAGTTCTTTTCACTCTCATTTCTGTCTTTATTGTTTTTGTATTTTGCTGATAGGCACTACAAAAAAGCGTGTCATTAGTGACAAAAATTAGCAATGATGGGTCAATTTTGTCCCTAAAAATGACTTTTAAGCACGATATTCCACTTTCATCAACAAGATAGGTATTTGCGACAAAGCATAGACGTCGTCGATAAAGGCAATAATCTTTGTCACTAACTACACTTTTTGGAGGGAAAAATTGGCGTCATGGTTATCTGCTACGAATAAAATCTGGTCGTCAGCAATGTTCCGTCAAAACATTGCTTTTGTGACAAAGCCTACATGTCGTCGGAAAAGAAAGACATTAGTGACAACCTTAAGCGAGGGCAGGTCAAATTCGTCGCAAAGAATACTTTTAGGGACAAAGTTTACACTCTCGTCAATAATGTTCCGTCAAAATTTTATGTGTTTGCGACGAAGGTTGTATCTTGTAGGTAAAAAATATGAACTAAGCCTAATTTTTGGAGGGAAAAATTGGCGCCATGGTTATTTGTGATGAATATCATTTGTTCGTTCGTAATGTTTCGTTGCAAAAAAAAAAAAATTTTTGCGATAAAGGCTATTCCTCGTCGGTAAAATCTGAATCCTCATCACTACGTTCATTCTTTGGAGTGCGACAGCCTGTAACCCGTCAGTGAAATTTGTTCCTCGGAATTTATTTAGTGCATTAGTCCCTTTTTTGTGATTGGTGCCAAATCCCATTATTGTACCCATATCAAGTACATTCTGATTAACCAATGGGTAACATCAATGGGAGAAAGAGATTAACAACGATTGAGAAATCAAGTCGGCCATAATCATTAAGATGAAGTTTTAGCTTCAGTTGGCATCCAACTGTTGAGAATCGAAAGGCCAAGAAAAGGCTATCCCTGTGGAATTATATTTGCAGAATACTTCATAATAAGATTCCATACACATACAAGAGCTACCCACCACTGTAGAGACATTTCATTAAATACCTTGGGTTCTTTTGGAAAGCTCCATGAAAACTCAGGTGTTGCATAACAAAGCATAATGGAATGAAAAATACAAATAAAAACCCACATACATATCCTACAATAGATCTCATCAGAAAGAAAGGATCCCAACTTTGCAGTCGTCGATTGTGGAGGGTTTACTCCAACATTGTGAAAACTAATCATAAAATATTATAGAAAAATAAAACTAGACATTTCAGTCTACAAATCTTCAAGCTCCTCTCTACTCCGGTTCATCTCATCTTCACAATTGTCACTCCCTTGAGGTACAGTTACTGAAATAATCTCTTGTTGATATGCTTCATTGCCATCATCATCATCATCTCCACTGTCATCTTCTGGCATCTGAAACAAATTTCTAGGCTTTGTTTCAATAACTATTGCCCAGTTAGGATCTTTGATACAAGGCACATAATAAACTTGTATACACTGACTGACTAAGACAAATGGTTCTTGAGTATTCAACAGGCGTGTTCTATTGATGGTAGTAATACCATGATGAACCTTCTTGTAGCCAATGTTTTCCCGGGTTATGTCATACCAATCACATTGAAGAAGCACCACTCGAAGGCCTTCTGTGTATCAGAGTTCAATGACTTTAATAAGAGTACCATAATAAGGAATGTTGCCTTCATTCTCCCCTCTCACCATCACACCACTATTTTGAGTACGTCGATTTTGCTCATGATTTTTTGCGTGAAATCGAAATCCATTAATGTAATAACCTGAGTGGTAACTGACTCTTTTATCTGGTCCACGAGCTAGAGATAATAGAGAAAGACTCACACTTTTAGGATTCTCCCAATACATCATCATGATCTACAATTAATAAGATAAAATTAATATGTATTTATATTACTTGAATTCGCCCATAAGCAATAAGTGCACTTACCTTCTTGCTGAACCATTGTGCAAATTGTTGTTTGTGCATTTGTTCAATCCGACGAACACCACAGGAAGCTAACATGTCTTTATGCTCTCTATACATAAATAATAAACAATGTGCATGATCAGTAAATAAGAAATTTGAAATGAAAATAGTAATCTTCTAAAATATGACGAATATGATTACTAAATCACCTGGAATATTCATGTAACTCATCACAATTTTCCAAGACATAAAAAATAGCAGCATTCATAAGGTTGCCTCTTAATTCCTCCATATTTGGAATTCCTCCTAGACAATGGCCCATAAGTGAAACAATCGATAGTTGGTGAGACTTGGAAGAAGTTGTCTTAACATGATCATCATTCCTCTCGAGCTGATTAAATACAACGTCAACTCCAGTCAAATAACGTGAGCAAAATGTGAGACATTTATCGATCAAATAAGTCTCAGCAATAGAACCTTCTGGACGTGCCTTATTATCGACATAGCCCTTTAACTTCTTCAAAAACCTGTAACAATCAGAGAATAAACGCATTAACATAACAAATTGAAAAATTGAAAATAAGCGGTGCCTGAAAAGTTTGAAAAAATGAAAAAGAAGATGATAGTAGCATATTGTTTTTGACATTAGAGTGGCTTGCTGTGACCTGTGGCGGAATCAATGACCCACAATAAGCATCCTACTACGCATCTTTAGGGTAAAACACAGCAGCAAATAAAAGAATATTTAACAAAAG